GAGGTCGGCGGTTGGGGCGCCGAGGAATTGGAGAGATTTGAGCGAGGTGATCATTAAAGAGATTGGGTGAACGATGGGGGAGCGGAGTAAAATTTTAGGGGGGAGGTGGTTTTTTTATAGAGTGGGGTGAGTGGGGTCCACTTGTAAGTAATGAAATGGAAAATACCTATGGAAGATTCCATTTAGGCTGCGTTTGGGAACTAAGATTTGGATTTGGAATGTTGATTTAAAATCAAAGGATTTTAATTCTAGGATTTGAAATCCATGATTTGATAGAATCTTTTGTTTGGATGCCTTTACAAAATACAAGGATTTGAAATTAAAGATTTAAAATATAATGTTTGGATACACTTTATTATACATGAACTTGGATTTCAGAGATAAGGAGGATTATTTTTGTGAACAATTTATGACATATACATATAGTTAACATATATGAGTACCATGCTACTTAGCCCAAGCCTTTTTAAAAGGAAGAAAGACCTGTCATGCACAAATAAAACTTTGAGAAGTGATTCAAAACCAAATTGATCACCTCGATAGCAATTATAAATACTCATGCAATCATCTCATCCTTCGTGAATCGATACGAGAGAATACAAACAATAATAATAATGTCCAAAATATTCATTATAATAGCATTTTTCATGGTTTTATCCACTACCACATTGACCTTCAATCTCCAAAATAACAAGAGTACTACTTTAAAAATTAGCCATGATAAAAGACTTGACGACACAAAATAGTATAGCGAACAATCCACATAAGAAGCTCTAGGCTATGCAATAAGTCTTCATTTAAAACACAACGTACTATAGGTAGTAGATAACCATGATTTTCTACAACAAGCTAAATTAGCACAACATAAACTACTAAAAGAAACCATAGCAAAAATTGTCTATTTATCCTTCAAAGTATTCTCCTTCTTTTTCTCCTATGCTTCCAACTCATGTCTCGGAGAACTTATTGGATCCTACATTAAAAAAATTTGGCATCAATTAGTTCATGAAATAAAATACGCTCTAAAACAGAAATAATATCTACTACAAAGGCAAATCACAACTATAAGTGTGCATATCACGATTAGCTAAAGCTGAATCCATATCACGATTCCAAACAACATGTGATCTCAAGTGAGATGCAATTTGTTTCCCATTCTTTGTCATCCTAATACATACCAAAGTGAATGACACAGAATGAGTAATAAAGAATTAGCACATCATGCATGAAGGATTACTTAGAAACAACTGTCTAGTTCTTAGGATCTTCATGCATGACAAACTAATAATAGTGTCAAAAACAAGCTACTAAAACATATATTGGTTTGGTCCTTTGCTCTCCAGTGGCTTTTCAAGGTTAAGTTGATGCAAAACAACATTAGATGCAAATGAATGGCGAAAGAGCATGTGACCTACACATATAATTGGATCATAGATATTAACTATAGCATCAGATGTAAACATGATTCTTGGAGAGGAAAAATCACTGTACTATAGACTTTATTTTATCCTTTCATATAACTAAACTAATAGAATCTACATAGCAACCAATAATATTTCAGTTAAACAGAAAGGTTGAAATATGCATAACCTAGATACTTCATGGAAAATATATTTAACTTTACTATGAACAAGGAAACAGCTACTTAGTAGTTACTACTGTAATTACATGTAGAACATAAAACCATAGTGAATTCTGTATATTTATCATAAAAAAACATTGAAAACATAACAACAGTTCTATTTCCATCGACATACTTACATAACCATTAAACTGCTGGCAAGCTGCCTCAACCTCCTCAACAGTAGACATTGTCACAAATTCAAAACCTCGGCTCGTTCCAGTTAGTTTGTCATAGATAACCTGCGAAATAATCCAACTTAATTCACCAGATTCAAACACTTACAAACCACATAAGCTTCTAGGAGCACCACCATCTTTGAAATCAAACTCTACATAACCACACTCATACATTCACCAGAATCACATCTACCTTATAAAACTAAAAGGACCTTGCAAACAAAGAAGGGGCTATCCATGAAATATACACATTAAGTATCTATCATACGGGTAAATTTAAAAGTGTGCATAAATATGTTGCTCTTACCATCATTCTAAATTTATTCAACAAAACCACATGGATAATGTTTTCAGACATATCAGCTAATTATGCACAAGTCAACAATAACAATGCTTCTCTCTACAAAAATATCAAAACTTCTGACCCAAAAAAACTTCAACTTGAAAGTTAATATTCTCCTTCAACTTAAATATATATAGCCAACAATACATATTTCTCAGTCAAACTTACACGTAGTTTTCATTATTTTCCTATCAAGTTCAACACACGACAAAATAGATCAACTTTCACCAAAATGGTAATTTTAGATGTCTATCTATTCTACATGAGTTGAGGAGCTAAGCCCTCTTCTTTCTGAAAGTCATGAAGTCATAAAAACATATGGCATGTAGAAACTTAGAAATAATATCTGAACTCCTGAATACGTGAAAATGCGCACGTATGCACTGTCGTTGCCGCTAAGTGTCTGCTGTTATGTGTGGACTTGTGCGCGTATTGTACAAGCTAAACATTTTCTTTAGTTTTATTTTGTAAGTGTAAAAAAGTATTAGGTGAGAGTAATAAACTATTAGGAGTCACCAAAAGCCATAAGATTCAGATACAATTCATGGTCTCCTACTTCCTGGAGTCGGTCCCATTTCCTTCAGAATCCATTCATGCATCCTATTTGCAAATAAGCTATTAGATTTTTCCTAACACCCTTAATGTTCGTCGGTTTCTCACATAACCCCTAGAATTTTGTTTATTCCGCTTAACCCTGTAAACTTGTTCTATAATTGAACCATGCACACATGCATGACTTCAGCTTTACCCTGTTCGAAGCATGCAATTTACTTGACCAAAATACAAACAATGTGATTAGTGTTCAAAATAATATAGCTAATGCTGACTACTGTTTAGGCTATCAATGAAGGATTTGTTTGTTATTGAGGCTTTTTCTGATCTCAAGCGCTATTTGCTTGAACAAGACCTAATATCAAATCGCATAAAGCTTTAAAAAATAAGATCACAAGCAGGCATTTCATCACCGCATTAACTACAATTTCCAGATCAGAAGCATGTACTCATTCCAATATGATTCAGATCATATTTTTAGCAAAGTGAGTAAATCTCTATATTCATAGGGTCGACATTATCAAGATTCAGTCTTTAAATACCAAAACTTTCGCGGTGCAAAATAATTAATGCAAAATCTAGTTTCAAACAGAACATCAGAGAGCGCGTAGTATCATAACCCTGAGGGCGTTAAGGGATTAACAGAGATAATTGAACTTGAACAAATATTTCTTAGTTACCCAACTTTCTACTGAATAGCAAATAAATCTAACCAAGACCTAAACACGTAAAACTTCAGCATTGAATAGTAAAAGCGCGATTAGGGTTAGGGTTAGGGTTATCGATTGATCATTGAAATAGTTATCAGAATTAGGGGAGGTGAGGGGAGAGAGAGGAGAAAGGGGAGAACTAAACCCTAGATCAGATCTAGGGTTTCGACGAAAGAGGAGAAGGGGAGAGAGAGAGGAGAGATAGAGGTTACCTGCGTTGAGAGAGAACTTGAGATAGAGATTGGGATCGGGACTGAGAAATGAGAGGGGAGGAGTCGGGATCGGGGAGCGGAATTGAGAAATGAGAGAGAGAGAGAGAGAGAGAGAGAGAGAGAGTGAGGAGTTGGGATTTGGTAAATACTAAGGGGCAGGATGGGATTTGAAATACCTGTATTTGGGTTCTTAAATTCTCCTCTCCAAAATAATTGGATTTGAAATCTCAGCTTAATTTGAGGCCCAAACTAGAGATTTGGATTTGAAATACACTGAATTTCAAATCTAGGACCCAAATCCAAGTTCCCAAACAGAGCCTTAACGAATTTGTCAAATTAAAACTCACACGATATAAAAGTAAGTAGCTCAAAGTAGTAAATTCATTAGTTCTGCTCCAAAGCATGCGTACACCACTCATCCAAATCTCGCCCACAAATATAATTTACAAAGAAACCGGCCCCAAATTCCAAGCCAGAAAAAAAACAAATCACAAGCCCAGAGCCCCGAGTGGCGTCTTGCCCTGCCCGGCCTCGAAGTAAAAAATAAGCATAGCCAGCATAGCGATCCTGGCGTGCTTAATCTCAGCCAGCTTCAGCCTCTCCAGCTTCTCGGTGTCGGGCACGTACACCCCGTCCTTCAGCGTGCCAGCCAAGCCCAGGGGATCAAAGAACTTGCCCCCGGGGTAACCCTGATCGCCGGTGGCATTTGCGAAATTTTCGGAAGTTCTCGACCAGGGGGTCGCCCATTCGACGGACTGCGACTCGGGGTTGAAGAAGTCGACCCAGCGCTTGGACTCGACCCAACCCATCAGCAGGAGCTGGGTCCCGAGGAGGGAACCGAAGGAGAACGGCGCGATCGCGTTGGGGTCAGCGCCGGCCTCGAACCATGGGACGCCGGACCAGGCCTGGCCCACGAAGATGCCAAGGACGGCGGCCATGGCCCATCGCCCGTGGATGAGCTCGGCTTCGCGGTACCATTTCAGGAAGGCTGGGTCCTTGCCCAGGCCTAGAGGGTCGAACCCGAAGTCGCCTGGTAGCCTGCGCACCAGATTTAATTAGTTATATAGGGACACGATCTGGCACTCGTCAACCTATACTAATGCAGATTTTTAAAATTTTGAAAATGCCATCATGTTTGGGAAAAGAGAAATGCCGTCATATATAAAAGAAAAATTCTCCAATCATCCAAAATATGAGACCAACAGGCCGGACAGGTAAGATGTTCCCCTTCTATTACATAATGAGCTGGTCATCATTAATAATAGATAGCTCATTATGCAATATGAGGGGGACACCTCACATGTCCCCCTGTTGGTCCCATACTTTTGATCCCTGTAGCAAAGCTCTATATAAAACAAGGGACTATTTGTTAACCTTGACAATTCTGCTACAGCATTAATACTCTAGATTTTTAGTAATGCGCGCATTGCGTGCGCCCGGATGCTACTAAGAATTTTAGCGAAAGGCGTCGGGGCGAGCTGATTGTGAATAATTTATTATGAAACATTCTTGGACAATGCTAGCGTCTGGTAAATCTCTTGATTTCTTCTTTTTTTTTTTTGAAAGTTTTGATCGAATATATATCTTGAATCTAAATTAAACCAATATTGACATGTTTCGCCTAAGACCTAAGATTTGAGTAACGTTGCAAACAACTTACGATCCATCGAGCCAGGGCTGGCGGCCCTGGGCCCTGCGAGCAGAGTTCTCGCGGCCCGAGAGCCCGAGAGGAACGAGGTAGAGAGACCTTGAAGCACCACGGCTGCGGAGGTTGTAGAGGCCATACCCGAGATTTTGTTAGGAGCGTGAATGCGGTAGGATCAGTGTTGTTTGATTTTGGTGGGGGAATGGCCTTGGGTACTTGTGTGGCTCTCTCCGCTATATGGTATAATGAGAGGCCGTGAGTGTTGGTGTTTATGTGCTTGAGGGGGGGGTGGGGTGCCACCCAAAATCTGAGGGAAATCTAGAGAGGCCGAGAAGGATAGATTGCTGACCAATGAGGAGGAGCTCACCATCCACTTCTTTCAATTATTAGCCTCACAGCTGGACACGGCCTAGCCGTCGTAGTTTGTCCAGTAATTCGCGAAGAGGTTACTTCCCCGCGTGTGTCTGTTCATATAGAATACATTCGACCATTTAAAGCCCATTAAACATTGTTAGCACTCTGGCCCAAGGCCTTGGCTCCAATACCTAGCCAGCAAGTGTTCATTAGGAGACCGCATGACGCAACAATCCATCCGGATCAAGAGGGTGTGCGGGAGAGTTTTTTTTTTTTCTTTTCAACTTAGGTATTAAACTAGCTCTTTTTATATCTAATTAGTTAGTAAATTATCAATAAATTGACTCGTAATCTCATTTAGAAAAAGTAGCTTATAAGCTCATATAAAATAAGATAGGTTTGGTCAAGTAAATGATCATTGTGTACATACAACTTTTATAAGATGTTATCATAAATGTCAAAAGCCATCAAAAGCCCCCGCATGACTTATAAGTTCTTAAAAATATGCCCCTCCAAAACACCTCAAAATTTGTATAATTGATCTCCGGCAAGCCTAATTGATGCCTCCTCAAACAACGCCAAACACCACTCTAGACAAGAAGGTAAGCATCTACAAGCACTAACGTCCCTCCAAGCATGTGTCACGGGCTCATTCTTTCACCACAAACCTCGCTTGGACCCGTGCGGCACTTAGTCACTCTTTTCCTAACTAGAATGGCTAAGTCAGCCTAATTCCTCAAACACTCACTCAAGAGAAGGAAAGAGAGCACTCAAAAGTGGAAGTGGAAGCTCTTATTGCTTTATTACTTAGCAACTCTTACTTAATACAAATGAAATGTCTTAGCCCCCTATTTATAGGCAAGGCTAGCTTACAATGGATGGCTATGATTAACATTCTAGATTGTTCTTACAACCAATGGTTAGGATTGAGTCTCTAGACACCTCTCCTAAAATATCTCCCTAGATATTTACATAGGACTTTCCTAGAAGCTTCTAGATACAAGATATTTATCATACCTTTATTATGCAAGAAAACTCTAGAAAACCCTAGGATCTTCATGGACCCAATCATGAATAAGTGAGTCCAAATGCACCCAATTGAGCCAAAATGGGGTGGTTCGTGACATTCTCCCCTACCTATCCAAGCGATGTCCTCATCGCTTAGTCTTCTCCTGGCGAAACTTCTCGATCAAGTCTTCAAACTGCCACAAGGATCACACCGGTTCGCAACTGTTCTCACTATTGGGTAAGACTTTCCACTTCACAAAGTACTCTAACCTCGGGTGGTTGTTGGCTTCACGAACCGTCCTATCCGTAAGAATTTCTTCGGCCTCCTTGTCGAACTCCATGTGAATCCCTGTTGGCGCTCGACTAGACTTTCCTCTATCTAGATCTTTCGTATCCTGATGATATGGCTTCAACATACTCACATGGAAGACTGGATGATACTTCACGGTTGGGGGAAGCTTTACCCTGTAAGCTACATTCCCCACTTTCTTCTCGATCGGAAATGGGCCCTCATACTTGCGTATCAAACTCTTGTGTAGCACTTTATATCGATCCAATGTAGAAAGCTTGACAAGGACCAAGTCTCCAACTTGATACTCCATATGCCTTCGCTTCTTGTCGGTCCATTTCTTCATCTTCTTTGCCGCCTTGTTCAAGCACGAGCGTGCCAATTCGTTCTAATTTTGCCACCCCTTGACAAATCGGTAAGCGGCTAGGCTATTTCCCTTATAACCTGTAGCAATAGCGTTTGAAGTGAGTGGTTGCTAACCTGTGATGATCTCGAATAGGCTCCTCCTGGTAGACTCACTCCTTTGCAAATTGTAGGAGAATTGGGCTATGTCCAGTAGCTTCACCTAATCCTGCTGGTTGGCACTCACATAGTATCTCAAGTATACATCTAACAAGGCGTTTACACGCTCTGTCTGGCCATCTTTCTGAGGGTGAAAGCTAGTGGAGAAGTTTAGATCTAACCCCATGAGTTTGAAGAGTTCCGTCCAGAACCTTCCTGTGAAGCGGCCATCCTGATCGCTTAGGATGGACTTTGGTAGCCCCCAATACTTCACCACGTGCTTCAAAAATAGTGGTGCTGCTACCTCGACTAGACACTTAGCTGGGGCTAGAATAAAAATAACGTATTTAGAAAATTGGTTAACCACCACCATAAGAATGCTGCATCCATTTGACTTGGGTAGACCCATGATGAAGTCTATGGAAATGCTTTCCCAAGGTCGCTCCAGAATAGGTAATGGTTCTAACAGTCCGACCGGCGTTCTCTGCGCTGTCTTGTCTTATTGGCACACAAGACAAGTCTTCACGTAGCCCTCAACATCATCCCTTATGTGAGGCCAATAATACGTCTCTTTTACAAGAGCTAGAGTTCTGTGCACACCTGGAGGTCCCACCCATTAAGAGTCATGACATTCTTTAAGGATCTTCCCCCTTAGATTCCCGAACAATGGCACGTACACCCGTCTCCCTTTGGTATAAAGCAAGTCTCCTTCTAGCCAGAACCTTCGGGTCTTACCTTCTTTTGCTACCATGTTCTTGGATGTAGGATCATGAGACAAACCTTCCTTAATATGATCAAGTAAGGTGCTCTGAGGATGACTTATCATAGTAGCAAGTTCTATCTTCCAGCTTAACGCATTTGCCACTAAGTTGATTTTTCCTGGTTTGTACTCGAGCACATAGTCAAACTCTACCAAGAAATCCTACCATTGTGCCTGCTTAGGAGATAACTTCTTTTGAGTCTAGAAATAGCTAGTGCCACATTGTCTGTCTTCACTACGAATTTAGACCCAAGTAGGTAATGCCTCCAAACTCTGAGACAGTGGACCACGGCCATCATCTCCTTCTCTTGAACGGTGTACCGCCTCTCGGTGTCGTTTAACTTTTGACTCTCGTAGGCCACGGGGTGTTCTTCTTGCATCAACACCCCTCCAATTGCGAAGTCACTTGCATCGGTGTGTACTTCATAGGGCTTTCTGAAGTTGGAAAGAGCGAGAACTAGTTCCTCCGTCACAGCTCTCTTCAAAGCTTCGAATGCCCTCTGGCATTTTGAACTTCAATCCCATGCCTGATTTTTCTTCAGCAAGTCTGTCAGTGGAGCCGCTAATGCTGAGTAGCTCTTTATGAATCTTCGGTAGTAGTTCACCAAGCCCAGAAGTGATCGTAGCTCTGTTACCTTGGTAGGAGGCTCCCACCCTAGTATGGCTCACACCTTAGCTTGATCCATGCGAATTTTGCCTCCTCCAATGATGTGGCCTAAGAAGACCACTTCCTCCTATGCGAATGAGCACTTTTCTCTCTTCACATAGAGCTCATTACTATTCGCGGGAAAAATTGTTTTCTTCATTGAATTCATTACACTCTCAAGTAATTGTTTATCGATTACAAAAGATCCGGTCTTTTTATAAGATCCGGTTACAACAAAATCAAAGAAAAATGAAAATTACAACCTTCCTTTGTTCGAACGAATCACGAGATCCTGTTTTGCGGTCACTCGCTTTTGTGGGTTCTTTGCCTACGCCGGGGTTAATCCGTGGACCACTGCGCGATCTAGATCCGGTCGGATCTACACGGTATAGCGGGTGTTATCTCACGAAGGAAATAACAGCCGAGGGGATTATTTCGCCAAGGAAATAATAGCCCTAGTTATCGAAATCGACCAAGCGAAATCGAGACTCTTCTCGGGATCAAAGGCCAAGCTTTGATCCGGAGGAAAACCGTGTAGATCTCAGATCTGATCTCTCTCGAACTCCTGCCTTATTTGGCGTGGATGATCGCCAAGAACCAGATCTAGAAGTTGAGTCTTCAAAGCTTCAAACTTTCAAGTCCAATTCTCAATCCGGCAGAGTTTCGGCTCCAAAATTCCAACACTTCACAAATGAGCCCCCCTGAGCCTATTTATAGGCACTCAAACCTGTGCCTTGGCACAGGTGGCCGGCCACCGAGCCACCATGGGGTGGCTTGGC